GTATCCTGAGAAAGGTTTATGCATTGGTGAATATATATCACCAAGAATTCCGTGTCAGTAGTTCAAAAGATCTTCCTATCAGAATACATTTTTTTTCATTGCTGTTTCATCAGTTCTGTTTCCAGGGTAATGGTTACATATCGCGGCCTACACTGAAAGCATTGTTGAAAGAAATTGCGGATGATTTGAGTGATGAACAGCTGGAAGCAGCTGTAGACGAAATCGACGAAGACGGTTCCGGAAAGATCGAATTTGAAGGTAAACACTTTTTATTGAAGCAAAATGAGTCTTGCTTTTCTAACCGTTTAACTCAAGCGGCCCAATCAACTGCATTAAGAGTCTTTGAATACGATAGGAGAAAGTCAGCTCATCTACGAATAACTAGAATCGTTTCGATGGTAAATTGGCACAGCACATGCCAGGGAGTCAGAATCGTTATCAGCTTGCTTCTGAACAACTCTCGAAAAAGCGGAACATCACTAACTTTGAAAGCGTGTGTTTGCTGTTGGAAATGTGCCACCATTCGGTTACTTCCGGATGCTCTTTCTTCTCTGGAGTGAAAGACGGGGCAGTTGTCTTCTTACTCTTTGAGCAAAAAAGTATTTTAGATGATGTTTTTTCCAGATGTTAACAGTTCTTGGCGTCCTTGATTAAATGTGAGTTCTTAAAACGAAGCAACCTACGCGGGCAAATTAAGTGCCAATGGAAAAACTGAAAAAATTTGTTTATTAATCACCGTGGACTTGAAAATGTGAGAAAACTTTGCAGAATTCTGGGAGCTGATGGCAGGTGAAGCTGATTGAAGGCAGCGAAAGACAAATTTTTTGATAGATTTTGATGTAATTTCAACATTTTTATTTTTTATGTTTTGGAACAATTTCCAAAGCAAAAACTGAATTGTACTTATGTTGCGTATGTAATAAGAAAGTACTCTTCAACCAACACAGCAGCTATAACAAGCAGCACATTGCTTCAATCTCAAGCACGTAAGAAAATATAAATAAAATACAAAGTAACGAAGAGGTAAGGCAAGCCTATGAAATCCATCTAAACGTAATTCGGCTCTTACTTTATAGTGTTACAATGTACAACGTACATTCTATAACGGTATGTTGTGTGTCGCGAACGAAACCCGTTTCGCAAACCCGGAAAAAGAGGGACCTATAGTTTCACTTTCTCTGGAGTCTTCGAATCGTGATGTGTTAACCATTCCACTACTGCC